TGTTTGTCACCGTTGTCTCCATGGGGCATCAACCCCCTCCCTGTGGCTTCTCTGAGGTCTCTGAGCTGGGGCTGTCCAGCCTGGAGAAGGGAAGGCTTCAGGGAGACCTTAGAGCCCCTTCCAGGGCCTAAAGAGGCTCCAAGAACTGGAGAGGCACCTTGGACAAAGGCCTGAAGTGACAGGACAAGGGGGAACGTCTTCCCACTGCCAGAGAACAGGGTTAGGGGGAATATTGGGAAGAAATTCCTCCCTGTCAGGGTGGAGAGACCCTGGCACAGGTTCCCAGAGATGCTCTGGCCTCTCCATCCATGGAGGTGTTTCGGGCCAGGCTGGATGGGGTTTGAAGCAGCCCAGTTTAGTGGAAGGTGTCCCTGCATGCAAAGGGTGAGATCAGGAAAAAATAACCACAAGTATTCCCAAGGCTGAGGAGGAGGAGGATGTGCTGTGGTGAAGGGCTGGAAGGGGCACCCCAGCACCCCAACATCTGGTCTCCAATAACTTTTATTGCATCATCAGGGGTACTGTCAGTAAGAAATGTGGGCTCTGATGCAGATAACCTGCTGCAAGCCTGTTGTGGTTTGGCACTGGCCAAACGCCAGGCACCCATGAAAGCCGTTCACTCACCTTCCCCTGCTCTCAGCTGGGCAGAGGAGAGGGAAACAAAAATTAACAAAGGACTCATGAGTTGAGATGAGGACTGGGAGAAAAAACATTTCACGAATAGAAAAACGGGTTCAAATGTAATAGTATTAAATAAATTTATTATATACAGCGGCAGAGGATGATAATGAGAAGTACTAAAAATCTTTAAAGCACTTTTTTTTCCCCCAGCCCCTACTTCCTTCCCACCAACAGTGCAGGGAGACAGGGCAATGGGGTTCTTCACCAGCATTGAAGCACTGCCAATAAAACACAGTTTGCCTGCGAAAAAAACAGGTTATTCATTAAACTAAGATAGATGGCAGATTCTGGTAGGAAGTAAAAGAAACAAAACACCGATATCACAATATAGTAAATTGGGAGCATTTGGCAAGAATCTATTAAAACATCTTGAATATAATAGTGTATAAAAAATGCCTGAAAATTGTTGTTTCTTTGGACTTATGTATAGCAAATAAATTTCCAATATGTTCACAATTTTGACTCAAAATTATTACTAGTCGAATACACTTTTGATTTTAGACTTAAAATTCTTGGTGTCAGAGGGGACAAAGCCGTGGCCTGTGCTCCCTGGAGCAACCATGATCCCCAGTGCCCAGAGCTGGGCTGGCACGGACACGATGGCCCAGGGGCTCAGCATTCCCCACCCTGAATGCTCTGTAAGTGTCACAGCAGAGATCTCCTCAAAGATCTTTAATTTTCAATTTTGTGAGCCAGGTGAAAAGGTCTGTCTGCCTTCAGAAATTCTTCCTCTCCACTGCCTTCAGCTGCTCCCTCAGCAGGCTCAGGTGGTGCAGCAGCAAGAAGAGGAGGAGGCCGTGATCCTCAGCACAGCCACCCCCTTCCAGGAGCAGGGTGACATCTGTGTTTGTCACCGTGGGCTGCACGGGGCATCACCCCCCTCCCTGGGGGTTCCCTGAGGTCACCAACCCCACCACACCCCACAGCTTCTCTCCAGCCCCATCACACCCCACACCTTCTCTCCAGCCCCACCACACCCCACACCTTCCCACCACATCTTCCCAGCAGCTCCATCATGTCCCACCCCTCCCACACCACCCTCCCATCCCACTCCCCATGCAGCCCACCCACCTCCCGTCCTTCCCATCCCTCCCAGCCCCGGGCCTCAGGCTCCACTCCCTCCCCACGG